CCAAGCGCCCGTCGCCCGCCGAGGCACACGGCCCGGTGTGGCCTCCGGCTCAGCCGGCTCGGCCGGCCAGCGAGCGGCACCGAGTGGGAGCCCCGGACCCAGCCCAGCCGGTCCTTCCTCAACCTCACCAACAAGCGGAAGGAGTACTCGGAGCGGCGCATCATCGGGTAGGTGCGGCGGCTTCCCCACCGGCTGGCGAGGGTCCCGCGGCCCCGGCTGCAACGCCCGCTCTGCCCCCCCCCAGGTACTCCATGCAGGAGATGTACGACGTGGTCTCCAACGTGGAGGACTACAAGAACTTCGTGCCCTGGTGCAAGAAGTCGGTGGTGGTCTCCAAGCGGACGGGCCATGTCAAGGCCCAGCTGGAGGTGGGCTTCCCGCCCGTGGTGGAGCGCTACACCTCCATCGTCACCCTCGTCCGCCCCCACCTCGTCAAGGTGAGCACGGCCCCGGCGGGCGGCCCGGCCCTGGCTGGCTCCTCAGGCTCCCCCTGACCGGCTGCTCCCGCTCCCCAGGCCGTCTGCACGGACGGGCGCCTCTTCAACCACCTGGAGACGAACTGGCGCTTCAGCCCCGGCATCCCCGGCTACCCCCGCACCAGCACCGTGGATTTCTCGGTAAGACCCTGCTCCAGTCGGGCCCCAGGCGCGAAGTCCCCGGGGAGGAGACGGTTTCTGCTGCGGAGACCTGCCCACCCGCCACCGTCCCCGCCGGGGGCTCACGCCACCTCCTCTCCGCCCCAGATCTCCTTCGAGTTTCGCTCCCTGCTGCACTCGCAGCTGGCCACCGTCTTCTTCGACGAGGTGGTCAAGCAGATGGTGGCAGCCTTCGAGCGCCGGGCGGCCAAGAACTTCGGTCCCGAGACCCGCATCCCCCGGGAGCTCATGTTCCACGAGGTCCACCAGACGTGAGGGCGGCCCGGCCACCACGGACTGTGCCAGGGCCCCGGGGCCACCCACCCTGCGCCCACCCTTCTGAATATTTATTTGAGTGCATCTCTGCTGCCGTTGCCTCAACTTCCCTCCCGGCCCCGGGGGCGAGAGGTGATGCTCCTGCGAGCGCGGGGGCTGCCGTGAGCCCCCGGCCCCACTGCAACGCCGCGGGAGCTGCGTCCCAGCGCTGGACTCCCTGGTGTTGTAGCTGATTTTGGTTTTAAGTTTTGTTTTAGTTCTTGGGAGCTCTCTTTTTTTCCCCCCTTTTGGTCCTTTTTAAACTCCTCTGCAAGGCTGGATGGTCCCGGCAGCAGGGCAGCTCCTGCGCCGGCCCC